TGAGACTGTGTAGCAGAATCAGTGGAAATGGCAAACTTACTTCCAGACGAAGTTGAAAAGAATCAGCCCGCCAACACCCAGGTAGGCACCCAGCCAATCGAAATTAACCAAGGCCTCGGATGAAGGGGGGTCTGGCGGGATAATGAAAGCGGTCGGTACAAATACGACAGTACCAAGTATCGCCCTACACCTGTAAGCATTGACGAAGTCGGTAAGAGGCTTGAAAGGACGAGTGAAGCCTACAAGAAGAAGAGCCACTTCCAGTCCGTGAGCTGAGAGAAAAGACCACCAAATACACCTCCGCCAGCAGCACCGATCGGTGCCATAGCTCCGAAAATTATCATAGCTATGTTACGCGTCCTCCCAGGTGGTATGTTGATTCCCAGGAGTGCAACTGCATTGGGTACCACAAATGCGCCCCCAGTATCATGCCGGAAATAGCAGCAATTTGTTTTAGTTTGCCCCTTCGGACTTCCTGGCTAAGCATGATCTCTTGATGCCCCCCCCTCCCCGTGTTCTTAGCCAAATCACCGAGGCTATAGATGGATACCTAAGTGTGCTAACGACGATACAGGCACTCGATACCTGCTCGGCCTCGATAGCGTGTACTCATATTCTATTCTAAGAGCCTTTGCGAAGTATGTGAGAGCTTGATGGAAGTCAAAGTTCTATGCTACGGAGGCGTAGAACTCTCGCGGAACTGTGATCATGCGGGGTCGCATGCTGGATCTCTTTGCGCTGTAACCTCGTCGAAATGGTTGGTAAACAGGGGTCACACGATACCCCCTGGAGAGTTCTCCATGCAAGGCCGCTCCCAATGGCGCGAGTTGGGAGCCGATTCCCAAACCATCCCTTCATGTTGAGAGATCCGGGTTCGTCTGCAGTAACGCCGAAATGGACACGGATGACAAGAAAACACGAGAGCTGCAGTGGACTGAGGCGGCTATTGTCACTCCAGCACTCACTCAGTATCGTTATGTTGAATGCAGAAAATTGAGGGGTCAGTGCTCGTGGGTCAGCAGTCCGCATGGTGATTCCAAGTAAAGATATTCCGAACGCATGGCAAGCTGCGGGGACACAGATGACTGAGACTCCGGATGAACACCTTCGTCAGGGTCCTAGATGGGTGCGTTCCCATTCGTTCCCGGAACCCAACGGCTGCGGCATTGTGGGGTTTTCCGATGGATCCAGAGTGATTGAGAGAAACCTCATCTGCTGATTGCCCTGGTGCTCTTGTGAAGCTGATAGTTGACGACCAACATCCTCCCATACGACGGAGTTGATGTTTGTGAAACATTTCCGTACCTTTAGAGGCTTTTCCGTGTAAGGCTTTTCCGCGATGACCTTGGCATGTTGGCAGAGGCGCATGGGGGCGCTATGGAAGACATGTATCTCGACGCCATCAACGCCAAGCTTTTGTGAGTTGGGTGGCAGGGACCGACAGGGGACCACCATGGCGGGCGCGTTATCACGCGCGGGATGCGGTGAGTACCGACCTCCAGCCGTAGGAACCTGGTATTCGCGATAACTCGTAAGGAAGCCTTAAGCATTGCCTAACTTCCTAGCAGGCAGGCATTTCTTTGATAGCGTGGAAGAAGTAATACTGCGGACAACAGCTTGAGATCTAGCGACAACGACATGGTTGTGAAGGAGAGAGGTATCCCGGGTAGTAAGAATGAACTTTGGTTTTCGACCTTGGCTCTACGGGAGCCCAGAAGCCTGAGAGGCAGGCCAAGGTGCTAATCAATTTTAGTCCCCGTCCGCCGAGACTTGAAAGGGGCGCCTTCAGACTAAATATGCGAGTCCTGGTTCGGAATGTGAACAGCTCTTCCCAAAGTCTTGGCCTGCTTCCCCTTCCCCCGCACTCCGCACTTCGCACTTCGTGGAAAAGCCGTCGTACCCCATTTACCCCATGGGGGACGCAAGTTGTTTCTCCACCGATTATGCTCATCTGGCTCCACGCTTGTTGGCCTGAGGAGATGGCTGCGAACATCTTGCCGGCCGCACGAGGGTTGTGATTGCGAGCTGGGATATGAGGGTATATATCTGAGCTTCCTCGGACCTTGATCCAACCTTGAGTCTTCAGCCCACGGACTCAGAGGACAACCACCCTTCAACTCTAGACATTGAAGACGGTTCGCCGGCTGGAAATCTGTCCAACCTATTCTTTCCTCGATTGCCCGTCACTGTTCCTTCGGCGATCTTTCGTCCCCTCGACGAGTGCTGTCACGCTTACAACACACAAGACAACGATGGCGCATAACGCACATAGCGAGAGGCCTGTCTCTCCACAGGAGAAGGTTGCCGTCAACCAGATGGAGCATGTCTTGACTACCGACGACCCCGCTCTTATGAAGCAGCCCGTTATTGAGAAAGTAGACGAGTTCGGTGCCCATACAAAGACAGACCCAAAGGAGATTGCATTGGTGAAGAAGATCGACTGGTACATACTGGTAAGTCAAAAGAATCACATTTCTTCCTAGAACCACATGAAGCTAACGGAAAATGAAACAGCCCATCCTCTGGTTGATGTACTTCCTTAACTTCCTCGACCGAAATGCGATGATTAACGGCAAACTCAATGACTTGGACAAGGACCTCAAACTCAAAGGCACACAATACAACACCTGTGTTTCCATCCTTTTCGTCGGATACCTTTGCGGGCAGGTTCCTTCCAACATGATCCTCAACCGAGTTCGCCCTTCATATTACATGGCTGGTAAGTTCCTCTCTAGTCACCGAGCGAAAGAAGTACTTACTGTGGCAACCTCCAGGTTTCATGATGGCTTGGTCCATTGTCAGTCTGTTGACCTACAAATGCCATGATTTCGGAACGATGCTGGGCTGCCGCTTCCTGCTCGGAATCACCGAAGCTCCTGTAAGAATTTGGTTCAACCCTCGATATGAAGCTGTTGTCTGACATTAGATGATAGTTCTACCCTGGTGCGCTTTACATGCTTAGCATGTTCTACACCAGGAAGGAGATCTCAACCCGCATGGCTATCTTTTACACTGGCAACATGGCCGCCAGCGCTTTCTCAGGGCTCATTGCAGCTCCCATTTTCTCGGGAATGCAAGGCGTTAAAAGTCTTTCTGGATGGCAGTGGTAAGTCTCCCCTTGAGCATTCCTTGTCGCTTTCGCCTCACAGTAAAGAGACATTTTGGGTAAATGGTTGGCTAATTGCCTCCAATGCAGGCTCTTCATCATTCAAGGAGCCGTCTCCATCTTCGTCGCCATCCTCGCCTTCTTCCTATTGCCCGACAGCCCCCTCAAGACCCGCTGGCTGACAGAGGAGGAGCGCCAGCTCGCTCACACCCGAATCTACAACGATACCACGGACCGTCGCGAGGGCACCAGTGTCTGGACGGGTCTTCGGGAGGCCTGCACCGATTGGCGAACATGGGTCTTCTGTCTCATGGACAACCTCCATCTCTCAGCGAACGGATTCAAGAACTTTTTGCCCGTATGTGCCTCCTTCCTGAAAAATATCCAATGCTTTTCACGAAACCTTGGACTGACCTTTGTCATGCAGACTGTTGTCAAGACACTCGGTTACAACACCACCGTCAGTCTCGTGCTGACGTGCCCGCCCTACGTTTTCTCCGCGTTCTTCTCCGTTCTGGTCCCTTGGTCATCTGGAAAGTACAACGAGCGAACGTGGCACATTACCATTAGCAAGCTTATTGTTTGCATCGGTTTCGTCATGGGAGTTTCGTCTCTAAACATGGGAGTTCGTTACACTGGTAAGAAGCCCTGAGCACTTCTTCCTCTCACACTTGCTCGGTAGTTGAATGCTAACATTGAGCAACAGGTATCATGCTATTTGTTGGAGCTACATACGGCGTAAGTGGATACAACTTCAGTCCTTCCCGCACATGGTACTAAATAATTGACAGGTGAACAACTTGATTCTCGGCTGGACCTCATCAGTTCTCGGTCAAACCGACGAAAAGAAGGCAGTTTCCATCGCCATGGCCAATACTCTCGGAAACGCAGCCAGCATCTACACCCCCTATCTCTGGCCAGACTCTGACAAGCCTCGATTCTTGACTGCCATGCTTGCTAGCGTCGGATTCTCTATCGGAGTTGTCATCTGCGCCTGGGGAATGAGGTTTGCTTTGATGCGCACTAACCGCAAGAAGAGAGAGGCCGACCCCAATGCCTCTAACTTCTATGTTTACTGAGTGGAGAGACAGAATATTACGGACCTCGGGAGAGAGAATCTTGGAAGACGTGAAGTCAGACGTACTTCGGGTAGTTGGAATCACCCTAACTGAGCGACCAGGAGATGTGTAAAATTTAATAACCACGAAGTCTAATCACATTGAAATTTGACTACCTGACTTCCGAATGTGCCCTTTTGAACTACCAATGCTACAAACACAACACATTAGAGCCACAGTGAGTGATCAAAGCTCAGGAAGAGGGTGCTGCAGTTCCCAACGCTCCCAAGGTGATCGTAGAACATGGCGCATCGTACGTGCTTGGCTTGACGAACTGAGGCTCAGGGTCTTTGTCAACTGCCAGAAGAACCAGTGATTCCTCGTTCGGGTCGAACTTCGGCCACCCGAGGACTGCACTCAAACCATCCGCCGGATCATTGGCTGCGTTGCAGTGGCCAAGAGCAAGGGTCCAATGCCCATGAGAGAAGGTTCTCAATATCTCTAAGTCTCAGAGTGAGTCTGTTGTTGAGAACATATGCTGAGCTGACATCAATACAAATGTTAGAAAATAGTGCCAGGATACTCTCGGTCTCTATGAGAACTATCGTTGAAAGTCAGACTTCACGGTTGTTTGCATCGAAAGAAACCCATCGAGTATGTCGGAAAAGGATACGACGACCTTGCTTCTGAATTATCCTCACTTCAGCCAAAGGAGTGGCAAATTAATTCTGGCATACTGATATTTCATTTATCACTCTAAATCCACTTCCGGTGGGATATAAGGACCTATCCTCTTCTCAGACTTTCTTAAGTAATTCCAACAGGCTAGACCCAGATCACGCCTTGAGTCCCATTTGACTAGTGTCGTAACCATTGGCTTCAAGGTACTTCTTGAAACGAGCGTCTTCATCTTCCAGATGCTTGGGGGCCTGGCTAAGAGTCAGAAATGGCCGCTGAGAGGTATGAAACCGAGAATCGAAGAGGAACTTACGTCTGGGATCAGGAACCACACACATAGAGTACCGACAACCGAAATGCCACTCCCAATCAGGAAAATTGCTTGCTGCCCCTTCAACTTCTCATCAAAGCTTACAAGCGCTGCACTAAGCGCAGTGGTGCCGATAGCAGCGCCTGCCTTGCCCACAGCAGCCGCGAAGCCGAGAAAGTGGCCCCTGAGCGGCGTGGGAAAGGACTCGCTCGATACCAGGAAGTTGCAATCTCCAGGACCAACGGACAGGAAGGTCTGAAATAGGCCGTAGAGGGTGACGAAAAGCGGGAAGACAGTGTTGAGTTGGATCATGCTGCCACCGATGGCGAAGCCCAGGACGCAGACGATTGACCACCCGAGGGCGTAAGTTTGGCGACGGCCGATGTGGTCCATCAGTATCGCGCCAATGAAGGCGCCGGGAAGGGCAAAGGCATTGATGAGGGCGGACCAGCCAATTGATTGAATCATTGTCTGCTGAGACGAGAATCCTGATACCAGGGTTGGTGCAAGTAGGTTAAAGGGGTACACGACGGCGTCGTAAAGAAACCATGCGCTGCAGCATCCGAGGAGTGGCTTCCAGTAGAACTTGATAGCGAGACGATACGGGATGTTACGCTGAATGGCGTGTTTCTGGTACTGCTGTGAATCAACGAGTCGAAGCCGGAAGAAGAAGATGGCCAACGGAAGCTGGATGGCCGTTAGTCCATGTCGTAGGTATCTCAGGTTGTTATGGTTTGACTGACAAAGATCCCGATTCCAAAGCATATGCGCCAGATGCCATCACTAGCCTGGCCATTGTAAGCCGCGATGACGATCAAAGAGACGATACTGGATCCGACAAATCCAGAGATGATAGCGGCGTTTGTGGAAACGGCGACGAGCATTCCGCGTTTCCTTCGCATGGCCTCTGTGCTGTCGGCACACTCTAGAGCCTGCGAAGTGCAGACGGTGTACTCTCCTCCTGCACTGCCATCAGTCTTCAAGCTCTCGTTACGGCTAGCTTAGGCAGCTTACCAGCACCGACACCCGCAACACCACGGCCTATGACCATCATCCAAAACATGCCCTCGATAGAGGTTCCATGGGCAGCAGTAGCAATCACGATACCCTAGGTGGCTATCAGTAACCGCCTTCAGCTGCACTGGCAATGGTCGATCGTCAGGTGTCAACTCACCAAAACCAAGAAGAGAGTGGTCAGAATGATTCCAACTCGCCGACCAAACTTGTCAATGCAGAGACCAAAGATGAGCATGCCAAAGATGTCGCCAATGAGGATGGAGTTGGAAAGCCTAGTCTTCACGGCATTCGTCATTTGCTTCGGATAGCTGTTAGAGTGTGTCAGTCGAACATTGTCCTCAACGTCATAGCTGTCGCTCAGGTGGCAGACTCACAGCTTAGCCAGGACAGTGTTCATGTATCCAATGATCTGAATATTGTATCCATCAGAAAACAAGGCCACACCTTGAACCAGCACGTCAAGCTTCCCGGCGGTTCTGGTAGGAGGAGTAGGCTCCTGAGATGAGGCATCGTGACTCTGGGAAGACACCATGACTCCTACATCCTTCTTAGTTGCATCGTCAACCGTGTCGAATACTGAGCCTGGCGAAGATTCCATGATGGATGAGTGTGAGTTCGACAGTGACTTAGAAAGGTACTGCTACAAAAGCCTCCCTGAATTGTGAACTGCCTGTGTATAAGTACTGCGGACGTCTGATATAAGTTTGTTACCAGTGCGTCGCAAGCTCCCACGTGGAATCCTTGTTTTCAACCAGGTTCTTGGGACGCATATGGGTCAAGAAGCCACACATCCGAAGGATCAAGCTATTACGATTTTTCATTCAGACTCCTCTTCGCCCATGCGCATTTTACCGAACTATCGGCTTTTACAGGAAACACAATAGTTCCCTCAACCATTCGATACGCCGTGTCAACCACGTGCCCTGAATTGAACACCACAGTCGAAGTCATGTTCAAGGCGGCACGGCCAAAAGGCCCGGAAGATGCCCGAGATATGGTAATCCGCGGGTGCTCTCTGAAGAAACGAGTCGCAGTTGCCTCACTCCAGTCAAGACAACAACTGTATGTTGCTGACGCTGTAGGAACAAGCTTTGATTAGCCCATAAAGTTTGTGCTCGGAACTTGGCCGTCAACGTTCCTTAACGATGGGTTTCCGCCTTCGGAGGAAAAAACCGGTCATCCCACGGGCCTCCGATGCCCACGTGCTGGAATGCGATCGTCTTAGACGTCCATCGGAGTGGGGCCCCGTTCCCGCGGCACACCGGCAAGCTCCCGGACGCGACTCTGGTCTTCCGGGCAGTGATAAGGGACTCTTCCCGAGTGAGAAGATGCACTTGGCTCGGGATCACGGCTTGAGAGATCCATCTTGCGATTGAATTTTGCGACCAAGAGTAATACCTGTGGCATAGCACGTGTTTAGACAACTGGAAGAATGATTGTATCTTGATGAGGAAAGCGTTCATCCTTCAAGCCCGCTTTGGATCCTTACCATAACCGTGGTCCCGGGTCCATCATGTAGCAGCAGGGTTGAGTGGAAAGTTTGTCCTTGAACGAGCTTTCTTGGACGGTCTTTCTTGCCTGTGCTTGGAGTCGATTCAAACTCGGTGTATGGTCTCGTGAGTTCTGAGAGGCACCGAAAACATCGAACTCATCACGACCACCTAGCAAACTCACCATCGCCACATCGCGAAGACATCAGAATGGTTCTTGGTGGCGTTTTAGAGGCTACTTTGGCAGTGGCAACTCTCAGTCTTAGGTTGATGACAATCTTATTCACAAGATTCGTGAGTTCCATCACGTCCCATGATTCTTCTATCCAGGGGTTGATGAGCTCTACTCTGACGACCAAGCAGCATCCCCTCGGGAAAAGATACCTCAATCGTATCTATGGGAGTTGTGCGTTATACACAATTGCTTTACTCATCAGATGCCTATTGCCCAATTCGAGACGGGCTTCTAGGAGACATCACCCATGGCTGCTCCTGCTCTTGGGCTGGGTTGATCGTTCATCGCCCGTTGCATCTTTGGTTACGGTTCTACTCAATGCCCTGTCACTGGGATCCGTTTGGGACTTCATCTACAGAGGAAGCCTGCTCCACCAGAGCCACGATCTCTCTTTCTCTCGGCTGGGCTATGTGGACGAAAGCACGGCGCGGATCGTGATAAGAGCGCCAGTCCTCTCAACGAACTACGTCAAGATCAGTTGGGCACCCTCCAATGAAGATGGCCAGGCTACCATGTCGCAGACAACTGTGATCACTGACCCGAATGATCACACGGGAACATTTCTACTCGACGGGCTTGAGCCAGACACGCCGTACACCTACACCACCAATGCCAGTCATGCCGGGTCTTTCAGGACCGCAGCCCTCTCGCCCAAGCAATGGAGTCTCATCTCAACCAGCTGCATCAAGCCCTTCTACCCCTACAGCCCTTTGGACCATGGCTTGCGCATCAAAGGGCTGGAGTACCTAGACCAGCATGTCTCGGCGAACCAGCCAGACATGATGCTCTTCCTAGGCGACTTCATCTACATCGACCTGCCCGTGGCCCTCGGCTGGTCACCAGAGCACTACACCACCGCGTACCGCCAAGTCTACGCCTCGCCCAGCTGGTCACCCGCGCTCCGATCCACGCCGTGGCTGCACGTCTACGACGACCACGAGATCATCAACGACTGGGCGGCGAACGAGACGGGTCTCTACCAATCCGCCATGAGGCCATATTGGTCTTATCAAGGGCACGCGAATCCCCCCTCGCAGTATGGCGTCGGTAAAACACACTACACCTTCCGCCGAGGCGACGTTTCGTTTTTCGTCCTAGACACGCGGCGCTATCGATCGGCTGAAAACATGGCCGACGGACCTGCAAAGACGATGCTTGGCGCGGCGCAGCTAGACGACTTGCGAGAGTGGCTTGAAACAGAAAAATCGTGGAAAGTCGTGGTCAGCAGCGTCCCATTCACGCGAAATTGGAGGGGTCCCGATTCGGCCGATAGCTGGTCGGGATATCTGTGGGAGAGAGACATGATCTTGGAGATGATGAGACAAACGGACGGAGTTATCATCTTGAGTGGGGTAAGCTGGTCTCTGTTTGATCGACTCTGCTAAAAATTTCAATAGTTTGCTTGAGCTAATTTTTTGCTTCTTTTTTGACTAGGACCGGCATGAGCACGCGACAACGATCTTTCCGCCCGCTAGCGACAAGGGTGGTAAGTCTGTGATTGAATTTTCCACCTCGCCCTTGAACCAGTTCTACGAACCCTTCGATCGGTTCCATAGGCAGATTGAGGACACGGACATTTCCGTGTACTCTCATCCGTGGGGAAATTCAAAGTTTGGTCGAGTGACGTTTGACACGTCGGAGGAGGGCCGTTGGACGGTAGACTATGAGCTTATCGTTGATGGGCATCAAGTGTGGAACTACACGTGGGAGTTCACCAAGTGATCGAGTGCCTCATTACCGAGTCCGTGGGGTCGAAGGATCATCCAAATGTGCACGCAGAGAAGTAGGGGTTTATCTTGAAAAGTTTGCATTCATCGTGGCTTCAACCCGTTGAACCGGCGTTCCCCCCCCTTCTTGCCCTTGATTGTCATTGCCAACCCCGAGTCCTTCCGATCCCTAGGTCTTGCTCCCGTCTTCCAAATGTTTTCCGTACCGATCAAAAAGAATCTTCCAAACGCCCACTTCCTGTCTCAGTCTCCGCCCAAACTCCTCGTCGCTGTACCCTAGATCGCATGTCTGAAAGCATGCGTAGAATTGAAGTTGAAAGTGGTTCGTGGTGTCAGGCCCTCAAGTATTGGGGGCCAGAGCCGCGGGGTAGAAAATGAACCGTCTCGGACCCGTGTCCGATAGAAAACGGGGCGACGATGATTGCTCGTGTAGTGTTTGTCTTTGGGAAAAGGCGCCGACTCTTTAGACGATAGGCTGCAAAACATCGCCCTCGGGGGCAATAGCAGGCTCGTCTCTCTCAATGTTGCCGTGAACGCCGGCTCTGGCGTTGAGGTTGTACTCGTGGCGAATGATGTTGTTCATCGGGGTGATGGCAGCCTGCGTAGCTCCGAAGAGGGCCGCGGCGATGATGTAAGCGATGGATGTCTTCATCTTGTGTGTGGGAAATGGCGTCGAGCTTTTATCGGTCTCGCGTTTTCGTCAAAGGAATGGATGTGTTTGTTTGTCGAGGTCAACTCGAAGGCGAGGCGGGACAGCTTAACCGAACACTCTCGTCGATGTCGTAGGGACTGATGGACACGAACACAGGAACACGAAACACTTTGCTGCTGGCTGGATGAGGGGTCTCCGAGGCTTATTAAAAAGGCACGGCACGGCACGGCACACCAACAGCCACGGACTGATGTGACTGTGATGACAGTGTGAGTGTTCCTGTCTGTACTCTGTAAGATTGTGACAGTCTTAATCAATCATCAAACCTTGACTGTCTTGAAGTGGAGCCAATGAGCATGAGAGATTCGGATCTTCGGACGGTCATTGCAGGAAGGTAGGGGCGGGATCAGCTAGACTGACTCGCTTAAAGGAAGCTCGCCATGCACAGAAAGATTTGCAACAGAGACATGGAAACAGCCCTACAGTAAATGTTTGCTTGGCTCACAGCTGTGCCTCTTTAGCCCTGTCTCCCTTCCTATCGTCAATGATGTGCCTATCTCCCTCTGTAGACTACGGTGTTGCAACCCTAGGCTCTTTGCACGCTACACCAGGGATGGCGTGACTTTGCTTATTTAACTCAAGATTGGGCCTAACTGTTTCAAGTACACGCAGATACGCACGTCGCAGGAGCATGGATCGCCCGCTTGGCTCGGTCGATGTGACACAGTGTTGTAACCCATCTGTTCCCCCCTCCAAAATCACGGCATCGAGTTGGGTTGCATGAAGGGCCTTGAAGAAATTATTTTACTTGGATCGCCCGAAGAATGACATCGATGTGTCCGAGTCTTCAGTCGTTCTCGTTCCTGATCTTCGCCGGGGGGACACCGGACGGCCCACGTGGTCCCGAGTGGGAGCATGCCGGGCGGGCACTTATTCCCGAAGTCAATTGCGGATACTGAACATCCATCATCCATCTATCCATCTATCCATCCATCCTCCTGGCATCAGCTACTCCGTAGTAGATACTCGTAGGAGAAGAAACAAACCTCGGTAGTTCTCCACGTTCTTGCCTCCGTACAACTCGCGACTGGTTGCAATCTGCTGCGTGACCCGAGCTGGCAGACACATGTTTAATCGTGTCTCGGAGAAGCAAACATGGGCGATGGCCCGCACCTAGAACCCGCAACTCCGTCCCTACCCTCCCTCACGTCAAGTTCCAGAACATATCGACGCCGTCATCCGCCCTGCATCCGTCTATCAGCCGCCACGTTCGAATCGCACGAATTCGTCCAGCCGCGCTCATCATTGGAGACCGAATATTACTGATCTTACCGGATGTCATCGTGTTCGTGATATCTGTAACTTGACGTGCCCAACATCGCTATCGCTATCGCAATCGTCGCGCGATTGATACGCGAAGCTCGCCTGTTCGGCCTTTACAACTTCCCTTCTGTTTCCTGAATCCTATCAGCAGAACATTAGCCTTTGGGTGATGCTGAGTCGACCTGTCAGCCAGTGACTCAAGTTCATGCCGAAGCCTTCTAGACATTATGCATAACTCGGAGTGAGCCAAATGCGGAAGTCTGCCAAATCTAGATCATATACCGCCTTTACAACTGCCTTCTACAATAGCCTTTAAACTTCCGTCTAGATGAAGAGCTTGCCGGTTTGTCAAATTTGCCGATCACATATGCTTAGCAGACACTGGGGAGCTTGTGATCAGTTGAATGTGGGACGATGGAGATGCATTTAATGATCTCGACCTCCGTGTAGTTCTCAATGGCTTCAGGTTGTAAAGCACATCAATTAATTTTCTATCGCATTGTATGCCTCTTTCTTAAAACAACTGCCAATATGAGTAGCCAAAAGGGACAGAATGGCCAGGCCGACAACCAGTATCTGGCTATGGTAGGCGATGTCCAGGCCGAGCTGACGCGCCTACAAGTCCAGCATCGTTGGATTCAGCTGTGCCTCAAGGATAAGATCGTTTTCGCGCCGGTTGATACTAAGAAGGACGGCATCAAGATCCTCGACATGGGTTGCGCTGACGGTATTCCAACCTCCATCTGCACTGTGAATTAGTCTTCTAACCCGCGACATCACAGGAACATTGCCACGGGACCTGCAGAAGCAGGTTCCACCATCCGCGCACATGGTCGGCGCCGATGTTTCAACCATTTTCCTGCCCACGTCAGCTCAGGGCAACATCCACTACGTAACCCACGACGTTTGCGATCCACCGGCCGGGGATCTCAAGGGCCAGTTCGATCTGACCCACGTTCGCAACGTTCTCCACAGCGCCCACCGGTCCGGCGTCGAGCAGGCGGTGGCGAACCTCGCCGGTAAGTCGTGGGATGTTCAATGTGTTGGTTCGGGCTGCGGCCTGATGAGTTACGCGTGTGGTCTTGTCTAACTGATGCAAGATACGTTGGCTCCGGGAGGCTGGCTGCAGGTTATGGAGCTGGACATTACTCCAGGCCAGCCGAACCAGCCCCAGTCTCTCAAGGATCTCATTCACATCATTGGGTCCATGTTTGAAAAGCAAGGGATGGACCGCAACTACGCGTCCAAGATCCCAGAGGCTATGAAGATGGCCGGCCTACAGAACGTCAAGGTTGAGCGAGTTGAGTGTGGGATTGGTAAAGTTCATGGAGATGAGGCAGCTATCAAGTCTTCTATCGAGCCTTTCATGCACACGATCCCGCTTATCGCCAAGAACAGCCAAAGTTGACGGGACACAAGCAGTCGTTGTCATAGGTTTGTCCTTGTTACTGACCATGAACGTAGTGTTGGTCCCAGATATGGACCCGGCGATTTATACAAACTTGGAGGAGAGATACACAAAGGAGATGACTGAGCCAGGAGGCATTTTCCCAGCGAACGTCTTCTTTGCTCAAAAGCCCGTCGCGTGAGTTAGAGATGTATAAAAATGGCTTCCTAGAAAGCTTGTCCGATCTTTCTGCGTGACTTTGTCGTTGGTTGTAGCGCCTTACATACGTGCTCCATGACACAGACCAAGATTGTTCTTGGGAGTTGGATATTGTAACATGAAGACATCGATGAGCTCTCGTGTGGTTTGTATTTATGGTCAAAACCAGGACTAATGATATTTCGATGATCATTGCAACTGACCAGGGTGTTTCTCATCCCATACATGAGTAAAGTCTCTCAGCTAAAGCATCTCCACGACATCCGCTCAGCAGATGCCACCAGTCCTATCCTGTCTAGCATGACCACTTCATGTCATCTCAATCGATGTGCTCCTCCTCTCAGCAGGCCGTAGGAGGGGCGAACTCGTAGCAAGTCGAGCCACTGCAGCACCACGCCCAGCCATCACGGCAGACGGTATCGGCAGGCTGGCACCCCGCAGCTTGGCGAGCGCCGATGGCCTCAGGACCGGCGAAGGCAACTGACGCCGCAGCAATAAGAATAGCAAAGCTGATCTTCACCATGTCGAAACTCGAGCTACTGAGCTGTGAGATGAAGATAGAGGGGAAAGTGGGTGACGATCCGCAGTGCTTACGAGATTTGAAGAGCCAAGTTCTTGGAGAAAGGGTGACAAGCAAAAGTCGAGGTCAGGTGACACAAGGTCTCACAAAAGAGACTTAGAGGCAGAAATTCGGATATAGATTAGTTTAAAGCACGTCCGCTGATGGGACGAGGACAAGGATAATGTTCTATGTGCTTACTTATATTATGTTGCAATCTGAGCCTTGGTCTTGGTCTTACACGAAGCTTGTCTGATCAAGGAAGGTGCAATTGAAGGATCGCAGGATTATGCTTGGCACAACCACAACTTGGCCTGCAACGTATAAGATCCAGTCATTGCTGAATCCTGCAATCGTATCTGTTCTAGAATACAAAATGCCAAGTCGGCATGGAATTGTTGTAGCTGTTACGGGAAGGACCTCGGACTGGTCTAGGCGGGTAAAGGCAATAAACTACCTAGTAGTAGGTAGTAACTGTAGGATTTCCCGAGGACGTCACCCCGAAGTCAACTGACGTTCAAAACAGCAACACTGTTCAGCAAGGCTCAGGTGTCGGAAGGACTCAGAATGATGTCAATTATTACTCGACTATATCGGTGAATTACAATCGTACGGGTGTTTCCTCACTGACATCGATTCAACATTCAGACCGACATCTTTAGCATGGAGAAAGATGATCGAGAGAAGATAGGGTATCAAAAGACTATGAGGCCGCTTCATGTTGATATATCCTGACTTTTTCCAGGGAATGGTTCCTCAGTCTTGCTTAGGTTCCTTGACAATGTTTGCACGGTGCCCCGTCTGCGTGTTCGCACCACTCTTGGAGTGTTCTTTCCTCTCCTCGTATTGCTGCTCTGCCATCTGCTGCTTGGCCTCTGCTTTGCTGGAGGGGTCCTCTGTTCGTCGTCAGTAATTGGACTTGACCGTAAAGCTGGAACACAACGTACTGAAGGTGTCGGCTTGAGGCTGGTATTGAGGCATGTCTGGAAATGCGGGTTTCTTATTGACGAGGTTGTCGAACTGAGACGGGATTGAAGTTTCCGGTTGCGTATGTGAAAGTGTAGTTCTGAGAGTTTGAAATCAAGAACCAGAATGAAAATTATGAGACTATCTTCTGATCGCAAGATACTGGTATTTAAGCTTGACAATATTGTTCATCTCCATCTCAGCCATTTTCAAAAGCAATAGTGTCATGGCCCGCATTGCGTGAATCGAGCGTCACTATCGCGGCACATGTCGTGTGTCTACAGTGACGTCAACTAATGGGTCAAAATGTGGAAATTGCGGGAGCAACCATCGCCCAGCAGTGCCCAAGTTGCCAATCATCACAGGTCGGGCGAGTTTCACCGACGAGGTTGCGGGTCACGTCCTGATCGCACCGGAGCAGAGTCTCCTAAGCTCCAGCAAAGTTATGAGACAGGCAAAAGCCGCATGAAGAATGATGCATGACTTCATTATGCACGATAGTCAAGCAATACGAAGCTATGGTGTCACTCTTCCTGAAGCTATTACCGGGAAGTATTCTCACGCGCTGGACCGATAAGGAGGCTTATGCCCAAAGCTTATCGCTACTGCTCTTCTCTGTAGTTCCCACCGACAACTACCTTGACTCGACAGCTGTCGTGGTTGAGACACGGCGAAGAGAGGATGAGCAGTCGGAACTATCCGATTCCGGAGTAATGGAGAATCTGCCACAAGCAAGAGATCAAAGACAAGGTACGTTACGGTTTAACGGCCTTTTCAATTGATTAGCCTGGGCTTTCTCAACTCTAGGCATATGGGCGAATAGATCCCGCGGAAATCCTTAGATGTGGCTGTCCGAGGAAACCTCGTCAAGTACGTCCGATTATACAAAGTAGATGGTGTTCTTTTCTATGCACGCTTGCTGATGCAGGTTTCCAGATGAGACTCTAATATAACGCCCCGGAAAAGTGTGATGTAAACGGTAACGAGAAGAAAAAGGAAAGAGAGACAAGATGAACGTCTGGCGGATGTGCCCTTATTATCTGTAATCCTCAATGATCATATCCAGCACCGCGCTGCCATGGACTGTGCATATTGGGTTAGCAAAGGTCGGGCCAAAATCTGTTGGAACTAAGGACAACTCACCTATTGTTGTTTTGGGATCGAAACTCATGGATACTGCGCGCAGATCCGTTCCCAAACGGACTCGGCGGCGGGAAATCGCTCGCCGGTGACCGCGGCGGGGCCGGACTTTGAGATCGCAATGAGCGGTCGGCGGGGAACATGGGTACCGACGGGCTCACGGCAGGCCTGGAGCCCGGCGAGGGCAGATATGACATTTCGTGGGTATCCCCGCGGCTGTTGAGATTCGACGTCGACACGTGCAGGCTCATGCCGCTCTCGGTAGCCTTCTCCTCGCCGTAGCGCAGCGACTCGCGGCGATACGGGTTCACCTTGTCGTCTTCGTCGAGGTCGAGGAGCGACTTGCCCTCGGTGCGGTCGCCCTTTGCGAGGATGGAGGGGTCGTTGAGCTGCGTGGGGCCCGTACCGGTCGGTTGGTCCTTCACGCGCCAGAAGACGAGGACGCTGGAGATGAGGACCATGAGGAGAAGGACAAAGGCGAAGATGACGTTTACGACGAAGAGGACTACGCCGACGGCGCCGACGACGATGCCGGGGGTGTCGAAGACGTTTGTGAAGATGAGGAGGAAGACGGAGTTGATGAAGTTGATGGCGTAGATGGAGATGTTGAACGAGTTTGTGCTCTTGTCCATGAAGGGCTTGAGGACGCTGACGGCGATCAGAGCGGCGGCTTCGATGACGATGAGGGCGATGGCCTGGGCGACGCCGGCCTTTTGACCAAACGCAATGACGGCGGACTTCAGGAAGATGTAGGCAATGAAGGGGATAATGAAGTAGTACGCAGAGGCGCGGTACTGGACATAGAGAAAGCCCCATTTGTTGATGATCTGAGGGTTAGAGAAGAGAACGTGTGCGGGGTTCTGATGGGTGAGAATAGACTGTTTCGCGATCAGAATCACCTTCCACGAGGCCCAGATGAGCGTAAAGAGGGTGCCGAGGAAGAAGAAGACGGCCAGGACGACGAGGGCGGCCGAGTCGATTTGGGTGAATTCCCACAGGCACAGGACGGCAATCTGCGGGAAACCGATGAGGTTGAGGCGGAACAGGACGCCCTTGAGGGTGGTCTTCCAGTCGCGGCGGAACTCGACGAAACGGTCCTTCTTAGACCATCCCTGCTTCACGGCGATTTCGGTACCATATCGGAACGCTGCGATGATGAGGACGGTGAAGATGATGAAGAAGCAGTAGACCGTGAGACCGGTGAGGAACAGGTTTGTCGATTCGATCTTTGCCCTGAAGGCTACGCGCTGGATGCCGTAAACGATGTAGGAGCCGTTGTCCTGGAGGATGTTTGCACGCTTCGCGAGGGCGTTGAGGCCGCGCTTGACAGGGCCGATGCTGTTGACGATTTCGAGAGAGCGTTTCGAGACCTGCACCGAGATGCCGCTCAATGAATCAAATAGTCGCGCCGCCTCGCCGCCCGTCGAGCGCTGGTACCACGTGCATAGCGTCTGCATCCAGCCCAGTCTGACGACACCCATGGACCACTGAAAGTTCTGAGTCCAGGCCTGCACGATGGGCGGCATATCGACACCCGAGAGACCGACAAATGCCTGGGCCTGGAAGTATCCGAACAGGGAGAGGGCGTTCGCTGCGAGATGTGCGGCGGCATCTGTGTGGCCCATGGCGGAGATGATGCCGGCAGACCCGAGACCGAGGCCGGCGATGACAGCGGTGGCCCATTTGACGCCTACGAGATCGACAGTTTTGCCGTTGGAAAAGTCGGCCTCGACGCAGGCGACGGTCGTGTTCGTATCGGTGAGGTTGACGATGGCGCGGATGGTGGCGTCGAGGTCGGGGATGGTGTAGGCGATGCCGGGCACCTGGTCGAGCTTGTCGCCGATTTCGAACGAGAACTCCATGTCAATCTTGCCGGGCTTCATCGGGCAGAGGCCTTGGAGGTCCATGGTGCACGGATCTATCGTCATCTTGAGGTACTCGTAGCCGTAGATGCGCAGGGCGACGTCGAAGACAGCCTTGCCTTCGACCGAGACGACGGCGGCGATGTTTGCCATGACGGAGCCATTGTTGGCGGAGACGACGACATTGAACAGACTGGCGGAGAAGTCGGATTTCTTTTGGCAGTTGTTGAGGGACGAGGACTGGAGGATGCGGTCGGCGTATGCGGAGGAGGGGAGGAAAGCGGCGAGGAGGGTGTAGATGAGAAAAGGAGCGACTTGGGTGAGCTTCATGATTATTGCTTTAGTTAAGTGATAACGAATGTGTGTTTGTTGTTTCCCGTCAGAGATGTCTGGTCGCAGGCATCGTCAGCTTGCGATTGGAAGCACCCTACGATGACGACGTTTGAAGCTTCAAGC